CCCCTTGCGCCGTCTCTGTTTGCTGCTCTGAGTCCAGCTCAGATACCTGCAGCTATTTCTCCAGGCGATGGGTCGGCTTCTCAATCGAACAACTGTCCCTCCGCTGCTTTTTGTAGACTCCCTTTGCTCTCAGGCAATTTTTCCCTTCCTGGCGCTGCACCTGAAGGTTCTGGGCGGACGTTTTGTCCGTACGATTGGTTTTACTTTCACTCCAGCTCACTTCCTCCTCATTTCTCCAGCCCGTTTCTCTTTGCTCACAGCTGGTTTCCGTCACGTTTCATTCGCGCTTTACTTCTCCTGCAGTTTTCTAACAATTTCTTTGTAACTTAGAGACTCTTTTTTCTTTGTGTTTCACTGCCCGGTTCTTCCTTTAACTTTCCCCCTCATGCCTCTGTCTTTCCTCTGTCTGCCTCCTCCTGTTCCTGCCATCTCTGTCCCTTCTCAGCGGGACTTTCTCCCTGCCAGCTCTCTGCCTGGCCCCTTCGATGACACAGCTTGGCCACCGGGTCCCTTTCCACTGGCTCCCGCTCGCTGGGTCCCTGCATTGTTGGTGCAGGTTTCTACCTCTCTGGCTGCTGGTGTCTCTCTCCCGGCGTCTGGGCCCCACATACCCATAGTAACACCAGCCATTCTCCCTACCCAGCCCAAGCCCTTTGTGGCTCCACCATGGAAGCGGCTCCTTGGGCAGAATGAGCCTGTTTAACTGGCCGATGGGGCGGGCCCCCTCCCCTGCCCCCGGGCCAGCTAGAACCCTGAGCCCCACCCCTGCCACCAGAGCAACCCCAATCCGGCCCCAGTCCCGGGTCAGCCCCACCAGCCAACTGACCAGGCCCCAGCCATGCTATGCCGAGCGACCCCAGCCCTGTGCTAGGCCTGAGCAACCCCCAGCCCCTGACACCAGCCCAGCGTCCCTCGGCAGCAGCTCCATATTATACCGGTCACCTGTGCCGTCTCCGCTCCGCAGCCGGGCGTCCCTCTGCTGGGCCCAGAGCTCAGGACAGAGCCTGCTCTGAGCATCCCATCAGCATGGAGCCCCCGCGGAGGGTCTGGCTGGGTGTGGGGCTGGAAGCGGGGACACCAAGCCGGGCCCCTCACCTGCTACCACAAGCTCCACAGCATGAGACACGGAGCAACCCCAGGCCCTGGGGGCCCAGAGCTCTGCTCCATAGCGGGTGACAG